TATTTTTTGTTACTCATACAAGAGAAACTATACCATACTTAAGCTCAGGTGTCTGATGTATTTCACTTAACATTATGGTCCCAAGGTGCATTGGGCAGAGTAGACTCCATTGTGTGTAAAGACCACATTTTCCTTACCTATTCATCTGCTGATGGACATGTAGGGCAATTCCAAGATTTAGCTACTATGAGTTGTGCTGCTATAAACATAGGTGTGCACCTATTACTTGTAATATGATGTCTTTAACTCTTTTTGTAACACCTAGAAAGACAATAACTGTGTTAAGTGGAATTTCTAGTTTTAGTTTTTTGAAGAGTCTTATACTTAATTCTTTTTTTTTTTTTGCCTGTACCGGAGATTGAACTCAGGACCTTGTGCTTACAAAGCAGGGATGGTGCCACTGAGTTAAATCCCTGGCCCCCTCCTTTTTTTGTATGGGAATTGAACTCAGGCCCAGGAGCTTGCCAGGCAGGTGCAGCACTGTGGAGCTGCTTCCCCTGTCCTCCATACTGACTTCCATAGTGGCTGTGGTACTAGTTTACATTCCCATTAACAATGTAGAAGAGTTCCTTTTTCCCCAGTCTCACCAGCATTTGTTATTTGATATCTTTTTTTTTTCTTTTTGTTTTTTTTGAGACAGGGTCTCACTGTGTGGTTCAGGCTGATCTTGAACTCACCATGTAGCCCAGGTTGGCCTCGAACTCACAGCGATCCTCCTGTCTCAGCCTCCCGAGTGCTGGGATTACAGGCTTGCACACTCTGCTTGGCTGAGTTCTTTATATATTCTAGACACTAGTCCTCTGAGGAATGTCTGGCAAAAATGTTTTCCCATTCTGTAGGTTGTCTCTTTATTCACTCTGTTAGTTGTTTCCTTTGTATGCAGAAGTATTTTAATGTGGTGTGATTCCATTTGCTGACTTTGGTATGGTTTCCTGTGCAGCGGAGCTCTGTTCAGATCAGCCCACCCACACCTGTGGCTTCAGGGGCTTTACCTATTTTGTCTTCCAGCACCTTACATGTTTCTGTTTTGACATTTAGATCTTTGATCTACTTTGATTTTAGTTTAGTGCATGGTGAGAGATGTGGGTCTAGATTCAGTCTTCTGCTTGTGGATGCCAGTTTTCCCAACACCATTTGTTAGCGGTATCCTTCCTGCAGTGTGTGTTTTTGACCCCTTTGTCAAAGATCAAGTAGTTGAATGTACTTGGAGTTGTTTCTGCATCCTGCATTCTGTCCTGTTTATCGTCATGTCTTTTTTTTGCCAGCATCATGCTGTTTTTTTAAAATTTAAATTTAAATTTTTTACCATGCTGTTTTAATCACTGTAGCCTTGTAATATAACTTCAAGTTGGAAATTGTGATGCCTCTCGCTTTGCTCTTGTGGCCCAGGATTGCTTTGGCTATTCTGGGTCTCATCTGGTTCTATATGAATTTTAGGATCGTTTTCTTCAGTTCTGTGAAGAATGCTGTTGGTATTTTGATTGAGACTGTGTTAAATCTGTATATCAGTTTTGGAAGTATGGCTTTTATTTATTTATTTATGTTTTGGTTTTTTGAGGCAGGGCCTCCCTTTGTAGCTCCCTGTGTAGCTCAGGCTATCGTTGAACTTGTGGTGATCCTCCTGCCTCAGCCTCCGGAGTGCTGGGATTACAGGTGTGCGCCACCACACCTGGCTCTGTATTGCCATTTTGACTATATTGGTTCTGCCTATCCAGGAACAGGGGATATCTTTCCATTTTCTTCCTTTTTTGGGGGGGGCAGTTTGAGACAAGGTCTCACTGTGAAGCCAAGGCTGGCCCCGAATTTGCTGTGATCTCCCTGCCTCAGCCTCCCAAGTGCTGGGATTATGAGTGTGCACCACCACGCCTGGCTTTCTTCAGGGTTTTATCATGAATGGATGTTAGATTTTGTCAAAGGCCTTTTCTGTGTCTATTGAGGTGATGATGTGAGGCCCAGGGATTTAGCTCAGTGGTTTCGACGCCTGCTGTGCAAGCTCAAGGACCCGAGTTCGATCCTGGTACCAAAAAAAAAATTGTGCCTGGAGGTGATGATGTGAGTTTTGGCTTTGGTTCTGCTTATGATTATTACACTTATTGATTCCCATATATTGGACCATCATCCTCCCTCGGGGGCCTCCCTGGTCATGATGTGAGATCTTTTAAATGATTCGTTGCATTCTGTCTGCCAGTGTCTTGTTGAAGATTTTTGCATCTATATTCATTAAAGAGATTGGTCTATTGTTTTCCTTTTTGAATGGATCCCTGTCAGGCTTTGGAATCACTGTAACACTAGCTTCTAGGAATGATTTTCCAAGTCTTCCCTCCCAGGGCATTTCATTGAATATCAAGTTTGGTTGCCAAATTTATGGCCTCCTCAAACCTTATGATAAACTTCAATATTTGCATCACTTCACTGAATGAATGCAGTGATCAAGTTACATGCTGCAAAGGACACACAGCAGGTCTTTGTCCCTGGAGGAGTGTGTGTGTGTGTGTGTGTGTGTGTGTGTGTGTGTGTGTGTGTGTAGGGGTTTAGACTGATCTTGAACTCACTGTGTAGTTCAGGCTGGCCTTGAACTCAAAGGGATCCTCCTGCCTCAGCCTCCAGAATGCTGGGATTACAGGCATGCGCCACCAGCCCTGCTGTCCCTGCAGATTTTTTCCAAAGGCCCTTGTAAAAGAGAAATTTTTTTTCTTGTTTTTGGTTCCTGGGATTGAACTCAGGACCTTGTGCTTGCGAGTCAGGCATGGTGCCACTGAGCTAAATCCCTGGCCCAAAATAAGCTTTTTTTTTCTTCTTTTTTCTTTTTGCAGTGTGGGGATTGAACCTGGGGCCTTTACACTGGGCTATATACCTAGCCCTATTTATTTATTAATTAATTTATTATTTTCTTGGTACCAGTGATCGAACTCGGGACCTTTCGGTTTTGAGGCAGGTGTTAGCACCACTGAGCTAATTCCCCGGTCCAGTTGGTGTCTTAATAAGCCATCCATTCCTTAAAACTCATTCATCTTTGATGTAATCAAATAGTGACATTTTCCAGAGGAATAATAAGTTGTTTGTTGTGTTTTTTCTTCTAGATGACAATATTGCCCTATACAAGAATATCATTAAATAAGAAAAACTGCCTTGCTTTGGGCTTCTTTCTGCACAACTTAGTCAAGACTCCTTCTCCAATAAGAAGTTCTCCAGGTATAGTTGAGGGTTGACCAGATGCTCCAAAACAATTTTCCCTGTACCTGTATGTCTAGTATTTGCTTCACTTGCCAAGCAATCCATGATCTTTCACTAATAGCCTTCCCAGCTTTTCTGCCATTCTTCATCTCAAAGACTCCAGGCTGTTCTGGAGCTCTCAGTGTTGTTTTAATTTGCATCTCTCAAGTGACCAGTGATGTTGAACATTTTTTCCTATATTTATTTGCTGTTTCTACTTCTTTGTCTGAGAAGGGTCTATTCATTTCAGATGCCCATTTTTGGATTGGGTCTTTAAATTTGGGGGGGGGTCTGATTTTTTGAGCTTTTTATATATGCTAGATAGTAGTTCTTTGTCTGAGGAACAGCTGGCAGAAATTTTTCCCACTCTGTGGGTTATCTCTTCACTGTGTTGGTGGTTTCTCTTGCTGCGCAAAACCTTTTTAATATGATGGATCCTGGTTGTTGGTCCTTTGTGCTAGTTCCTGTGCAACAGGGCTTTTGTTCATGAAGTCTTTGCCTACACCAATGTCTTCAAGAGTTTTACCTATTCTATCAGCCAGCAGATGAAGTATTTGTTTTAATATTTAGATCTTTGATCCACTTTGATTTTAGTTCAGTGCATGGTGGTGAAAGATATGGGTCTTCAGCATGTGGAAAGCCAGTTTTTCCAGCACCAATTTATTTAAGAGGCTCTCTTTCTTCCAGTGAAGGCATTTGGGTCCTTTGTCAAAGATGAGGTGGCTGATTATGTCTGGAGTTGTTTCTGCATCTTCTAATCTGTTCCATTGATCCTCAGGTCTGTTGTTTTGCCAGTACCATGCTGTTTTTATCACAGTAGCTTTGTAGCATAGTTTCAAGTCAGGTATTATGATGCTCCCTGCCTTGCCTCTGTTGCCCAGAATTGCTTTTGCTATTCTAGGTCTCTTCTGGTTCTAAATAAATTTTAGTATTGTTTTCTCTAGTTCTGTGAGATATGGTATTGGAATTTGAAGCCATATTAGAAGGCATTTTCACTATATTGGTTTTTCCTACCCAAGAACAAGGGATATCTTTCCATTTTCTGATATCCTCTTCCATCTCCTTTTTCAGAGTACTATAGTTTTCCATGTAAAGATCTTTCACTTCCTTTGTTAGATTGATTCATAGGTATTTCATTTTTTGGAATGCTGTTGTGAAAGCATTGTGTCCTTTCCTTAATTTTTCTTAGTGAGTTTATTTGTGTATAGAAACACTATTAGGCCGGGGATTTAGCTCAGTGGTTCCGGTGCCTGCCTCAAAAGCCCAAGGTCCCGAGTTTGATCCCCGGTACCAGAAATGCTATTGATGCTTGTTTGTTAGTTATTTGGGACAGGGTCTCGCTGTGTAGCCCAGGCTGGCCTCGAACTCATGGTGACCCTCCTGCCTCAGCCTCCCGTGCTGTGATCACAGGCATGTGCCACCATGCCTGACAATGCTATTGCAATGGTCCTCCTGCCTCAGCCTCCCAAATGCTGGGATCACAGTGTGAGCCATTGCACCTGGCTTTTGCCCCCATTTGCGGCACCTGGCCAGATCAGAAGGAGCCTGCAGAAGGCCGGGTGGGCCTGAGTGCCATCGGCATGCAGTTGGGGGAGGTGCAGAAGTTGGGGCCCGCCCTGACTGCTGGGGGGACCCAGCTGCCCCATGGGGCTTGGAGAGGGGCCAGGCCGGCTGATGAATAATTTTTATAAAACTGTGTTCCATGAAATGTTTTGGAGATACACTAAAACATTATTTGTATTTATCTCAAACTCAGATTTGATTGAGCATATTCCTTTTGTTTACAGAATCTGCCGCCTCTGGTCTCCTGGCCAAAACATTGTCTTGCTAAATTACCGCGGAAGCACGGGCGGTCTGGGGTTCCAGGTGCCTGCGGGCTGCTCAGTGGGGCGGTCCTCTGAGCGGCGCTTGCCTCAGACAGTAGAGACGGCCGCGCGCCTCATCCCGGCCCTGACTGAGGGCCGAGGCTGGAGGTTCAGCGACCGAGTGAGCGCCTGGCTGGAGAAGATCTCAGGCTGTAGTTTAGTGTGCAAACCCTCGGTTCAATCCCAGTTCCGCCCCAAACCAAACCAAACCAAAATAAAAAACAAAAACAGGGGCCAGGGATGTGGCTCAGTGGTCCCAGAGTCTGCCCGGCCAGCGCAAGGCCCTGAGTCCGATCTCGGTACCCAAAACCGAAATCGACACCGAAACCAGGTTGGGACTACTGAGTCCACCCGCTGCTGGTGCCATCGAGATGTGCCTTGGAGCGGCCCGGGGGTGGGGTGGGGTGGAGAGTAACTTCCTCCTCGGCCCCTCGGGACCCCATCTTGCGCCGGGGCCGGGGAGCCCCCTCCAGCACCGCGTCCCGGCTTCCTGCCCGGTTCCGGCCCCGCGCGGCTGAACGCCGGCCCGAGCTGGCCCGGACCCAGCCTGCGAGCGCCCCGCGGCACCTGGAGGCTCCGGCTCCGGCTAGCAGGGGGTGGGGCGGGCTCTGGGGCCTCGGCTGGGGGCAGCGCAGGAGGCTTTCGGGGCGGGCGCTCGGTGGGCCGGGCCTCTCCCACGCAGGTGGTGACCGCGACACTTCTCCACTTCTCCGTAGTTGGTGTTCGGACCCCCTGCCTCCCATGAGGGACAGAACCCAGGGCCTCACACGTTAGGCAAATCTCTACCACTGAGCTGTATCCTCGGCCCTGTTTCCTGAATTCTAAATGTCAAGAACAACAATGTGAGCCAGGCATAGTGGCACACGCCTGTGATCCCAACACGCGGGAGGCTGAGGCAGGAGGCTCCTGCAGGTTCGAGGCAGCCTTGGGGGTAGACATTTATTAGTATTAGTGTATTAGTTAAAGGACAGCAAAAAAAAAAAAAGTATGAGGAGGAAAGCTATAGTAATAAGAAGCCACTCAAATTAGCCTACTCAAGAAGAGGGACACGACCACAGGGATACTGAGAGTTTCTCAAGGAGTCCGCACAGCTCCAAGGGCCTGGAGGGACATGTGCCGGACTTCTTCACCCGTGCTGTCCATTCTAAGAGGCCTAACTACATGTGGCTGCTTCAGTTAAAATTAACTAGAATTTAAACACTCAGCTTCTTGGCTCCACATTGCAGTGCTCAGTGGCATCGCCACGCTGGACAGCACAGCTGAGAGTCATCTCAGAAGATGTGGCAGGGCCCCACTGCTGCAGGCTGTTCTGCAGCTTAGCAGAACCTTGCCTCCTGTCTGCCACCCTGATCCACAGGAGTGGGGCCTTAGTTGTTTTGAACTCAAAATTTAAAATTGTTTGCAGCTCGGACCAGGGGTTTAGCTCAGTGGTGCCACCGCCTGCCTTGCAAGTTCAAAGTCCCGAGTTCGATCCCTGGTACCAAAAAAAAAATTGTTTGCAGGTAAGGTGGGTGTGGTGGCACAGGCCTGTAATTGCAGCACTGGGAGGCTGAGGCTGCAGGATCTCCGTGAGCTCAAGGCCAGCCCGAACTGCATAGTGAGACTCTGTCTCAAAGAAAAAAAATTGTATGTACCCACTTAAAAGTCTTGGCTGCTGAACAGCCTTATGGAAAATGCAGATTTTTCATTCTGGCCCACATATCCTGAAGAAACAGGTCCCTGGTTGCCTTTCCAGTCCTGTGCTCTCAGCCCTCCCTCCCTCCCTCGGCATTCTGGTCAAGGCCAGCTGCCTCAGGCTGGCTGGGGTGCTGGGAGGGATGCTGGCCATGGGCTGGCCTCCCTCTGTCACAGCCCCCTGCAGCGGGACACTCAGTCTTCTGTTGGGGACACACAGGGTCTAAGCCCGACTTAAAGGAGCAGAGATGTCCTGGGGCAGAGATGTCGTGGAGCAGAGCGGGGGACAGTGGCGGAGCTGAGGGGCCCAGAGACCAGATGCAGACCCCAAAGCCACAGCTCTGTGACGCCCAGACACACCCTCCTTGTAACAGCTTTAGTTTCATTTGCCCCTGGTTGGTCGCCCTTTCTTACAAATGGCTGAGTTTCTGGTAACTAAGCACCGGGACCTTGTTTAGGTTAGCAGAGACTGTCTGGATATGCAGGCCAATTGTACTCAGACCCCAGCTAGCTCAAGAAGAAATTGTGAAGTTCCCCAATCCTTATTCAATAGAGACCATTCTGCAGATGTATTTTAGGAGGTTGTTCAGGCTGGCCTCAAACTAGCAGCAATCCTCCTGCCTCAGCCTCCTGAGTTCTGGAACTACAGGCATGCACCACCACACCTGGCATCCATTTAATTTTTACTCTGCTTCCAGGCTCCTTTTTATAATAGACCACAGTATGGTGCTCTGAATTATGGCTCAGGAGTGACCTTCTATTTTCTGGCGCTCAGGCTAAATTCAAACAACAGCTTGTTTCAGTAAATAGTTTTATTGAAACACAAATCCTGGAACATTGATGTAGCTCAGCAGCACAGAACCTGCCTAGCAAGCTTGAGGCCTTGAGTTTGATTCCCGGAACCAAACAACAACAAAAACCAAGAGGAAACACAGATGCCTCTTTCACATATGCTCCACGGCTGCCTTTGCAGTGCAGAGACGAGAACTGTCGTTCCAACAGAGACCTTTACAAAGCCTTAAACATTTTCTTTTTGCTCTTTATAGAAAAAGTTGCCACCCTTGGTCTAAATGGTTGATTTAGGGGCTAATTTCTCTCCGCATACAAAACTGTTTTAAACTGGGTGCAAAGATGCACACCTGTGCAATCCCAGCACTCTGGGAGGCTGAGCAGGAGGACGGCAAGTTTGAGCCCAGCCTGGGCCACTTGGTGACTTACTGAGCCCTTGCCTCAAAACAAAAAATAAAAAACGCTGGGGCTGTAGTTCAGTGTGAATACATTGTGTTCGGTCCCCATTACTAGAAAACCCCATAAAACTTTAAAAAAGTACATCATTTTTTCAGGGCTGGGGATGTAGCTCAGTGGTTCCACCGACTGCCTGGCAAGTGCAAGGTCCCGAGTTCCATCCCTGGTACCAAAAAGAAAAAAAAAGGTGTATCATTTTTGAAAATTATCACTGAATAATAATACAAAGTCTTTTATTGTAAGAGCTGCCCAAAGTTGGCTAGAACTTGTGCTCCCCCTGCATCAGCCTCCTGAGTAGCTGGGATTACAGGCCTGTGCTGCCATACCCAGCTGTGTTATTCTTTTTCAAAGTGTGGAAAAGCTGGGCATGGTGGTACATGTCCACCGCCCAGTGCAAGACCCTGTCACACACAGACAAATGGCTGAGAGTGGGATTTAGTGGAGGAACACATGCCTAGCACGCACCAGGCACAAACAAAATCACAGACCTAAACTCCTCCCCTTCTCCAGGAGAAAGGATCATTCTTAGCTGCTTGCCTCTTCTTGTCTGGAACATAGTTATGTGCCTTTGGATCTGCAGCAATGTTTAGTTCAGTGAGGTGGCGGATTTCAGGATGAAAACCACCTCCTTTATATTGTTAAGTTCTTGTACTAACTTTGCCCCCTTCCTCCCCTCCCTCCTGAAAGCACTGGGGATTGAACTCAGGGCCTCACAAATGGTAGGAAAGTGCTTGACCACTGAGCAACATCCCCAGCCCTTTTTACAAATTTTTCAAATTTTTATTTTGAGACAGGTTCTTACTAAATTGTCCAGGGTAAGATTGAATTGTGATTCTCCTGCCTCGGCCTCCCTTGGAGTTGAAATTATAGGCCTGTGCCACCATGCCCAACACTCAGAGCCTCCAAATTTCTAACTTGAGACAAGTAACTATTTTCATTGTGTAAACTTTAAACACATATTGTGTGGTCCTTGTAAATTTGGTCATGTGTAATTAAATGTACCATAATTTGCACTATAAGCTCTAATATTTTGGGTTGATTTTGATGACATTGTAATTCACTATGTATTGTCTCTCTCTATTTTTTTCTTTTTTGTTTTTTGAGACAGAGTCTCCCTCTGCAGTTCAGGCTGGCCTTGCACTCACAGTGATCCTCCTGCCTCAGGCTTCCAAGTGCTGGGATTACTGGTTTGTGCCATCATGCTCGGCTGTCAATATAATTTGTAGAAAGTTCTTTTGGTAATCTCAACATATATACATATATATATTTTTGGTACCAGGGATCGAACTCAGGACCTTGCGCTTGTGAGGCAGGTGCAGCACCACTGAGCTGAATCCCTGGCCCAGTCTCAACGTATTCTAAGGTAAAAATAATTGTTATGCATAACACAAATTTATATGTAATAGAAAGAAGCAATGTGATATATCTATTAATAGTATGTATTCACCAAGTATTTCCAGTTTTCATCCCTTTGGTCATGAGATTAAGACTGCACTTCCTGCCTGCTGTGGCTGGGGACAGCCGTGTGACTAGTTCTGGCTACTGACAGGTAGGAATGAAATTCTTTTCTTTCTTTCTTTATTGCAGTCCTGGGGATTGAACCAAGGGCCTTTGCACTAAGCTACATTCCCGGCCCTTTTTTATTTTGAGACAGGATCTCACTAAGTCACTAAATTGCTCAGACCAGGCTCGAATTTGAGACCCTTCTGCCTCAGCTTCCAGAGTGCTGGGATCACAGGTGTGCACCCCCATGCCCGGCTGTCTTCTGGCTTTTTGTGAGATATAGTGTTTTTGGGAAACTGAGATTAAAAATTAAAATTCTTGCTCCACAGAAATGTTAGAGGTTAAAAGAAAAAAAAAATAACCAAACCAAACAAAAAAGGGGCCTGTGTTCGATCCCCAGAACCCCCAACCCAAAAAACCCCCCAAAAGATAAGTTATTGGGCAGGGTAGCACATACCTATAATTCTAGCACTCCGTAGGGACTAGGTACGTAGCTCAGTGGTAGAGCACTTTCCTAGAACGTGTGAGGCCCTGTGTTTGATCCCAATACTGGATGAGAGAGAGAGAACAGAAAGCGTAGATGGTAACCCTGGAGTTGTGGAAAGAGCCTCATTCTCCCCTGTGGACTAAAACTAACCATGCCCTTGCCTCCAACCTCACGGTCTCCAGGCTTTCAGGGGACTGCAGAGAGAAACACATTCTTACTTAAAACTACTAATGACAAATTTACCAATAAAACATCGTCATAGATGGCCTGGTGGTACAGGCCTGACTGAGAGAGGGCGATCGTGAGTTCAATCCCAGGCTGGGCGGTTTAGGGATGTAGTGAGAACCTGTCTCACAAGGAAGAAGTAATTTAATAAGGGCTGGTGATGTAGCTCAGGGTGAAGATCCCCAGTTCAATCCCCAGTTCCAAACAAATCAACCAACCTACCAACCAACCAACCAAACAAACAAAAACTCCTAGAAAATCTATAATTACATAGTAGATTGCATTCTCAAGATATTTTCCTTGGAAAAAAAGTGAAAATAGAAGGAAAGAATGGAAACTAAATAAGACTAAACATCGATATGATATTGGCACTAAAAAAAAAAAAAGATATTTCCCTTGAGCCTGGTGAGGTGATGCATGCACTGAGGA